GGCATTTTTGCAAATGAACACCCCTAAGTGGCATTTTTGCAAATGTGCACATGAAAATTGGCATTTTTAAAATTTCTCTCATCATCATCAAATGCAAAATCTTCATGTACAATTTCTTAAAACAAAATTAATTGAATAGAGTTTACTTGTTACAACAGAAGGAAGAAAATGGAAAAAACGTTAAAGTTTATTAATTGAATCGTTTTTACTTGTTATTGGAAAGACGTGAATTAATTCAATAAACAAAATGTATAGATTTCAAAATTTGAGATATTTGTTTTCAAATATATTGTCCTTATTGATTGGGTATTATATTATATTTTTGTTTCTTTAACATAGGAAATGTCTCCTTAGTAGTATAAATTGGGGGAAATTTGAGGAAATTATTAGCAATAGTAGAAGAATATACTCATGTTTCTTTTGTAATCAATATTTGTATAATCTCACACGGTAGTGAGTTAATAAGTTAAAATTTTGATCATCCCCATGTGTACATAATTGAAGACTTTGGTAAAAAAAAAAACTAGGTGTTTTCTTCAAATATAAGTTGTTCATAACCATCACTATCACCCAAATTCATATGATAACCAAATTATATCTTTTTGTGTATTTATTCTATCGTAAACTTTATTTTAATATAATGGCTAATTTTAAATTATCGGTTTAGAGGATTGAAAACGTAAACAAACTATTTAAATGTCAAACATGACGTCCAAATGATACACAACTGCCTAAAATTTTTACTTCTTGGGCGAACAAATTCTTAATACATGTAAAAATCAAAATTAGTCACTACAGCAGATAATTGAGTAATAGTGTTTCATATATGTTTTTTATATTAATACAAATTGTAGTTAAATTTTGGTATCTAAAATTTTAAACTTATGGGTTGTAGCTTTTATTTTTGTTAAGTTATCTATATATTTAATATCAATAATATTATCATATAAATACATTTAGTTTGACTTACCCAACAAACAATTTGATACGACATCGACTATACATATCATTAGGTTAAGATTGTGAAGTAATTTTGAAGTCGATTCATTTAGTGGTACATGATAGATATCTCAGTTAGAAGTTACACGTTCAAGTTAAAGTGGACTTGTATTTGAATATTCTATTCATTTTCCATAACAACTGCATGATCATGTTAAATTAATATTTTGCAGCAATATGTTGGGCAACCACACTGATAAGAGCGATTGAGGCTCTATTAAATATCGGCCTTGAATTGATAGATAAAAAAAAACTGTCAGTGCAACATTAGGAAATAGAGTAGAATATGTGAATGCTGGAATTTTAGAAGACGAAACAGAGTGTTCTCATGCTTGTACTATGACTACATGTCAACGATGGCAACGTAAATAGATATTTAAAATAAATTGAACATATTTTTGAATAGTTATGTTTTGATTTGTTTAGTCATAAAATTTTTAGCTTTTCAAAATTTTTGCTGGAAAAAGTAATGATAGATGATGTTGTTCTTCTTACTAATGTGGATGATATGACATTTTTTGAGATGGTTAGAAAATAACCATTAATAGGAATTTTACCATTAAGGACTTCATTTCAAAACTATAGCCACTACAAAAATAAACATTTAAATTTTGACTACAAAACTGATCGCAAGTTTGCATGAATCGATGGATGGAAATCAGCTTTGGTCAAAAAATGATCAAAACTATATGACATATCCAAATAGCTAAGTATGCAAGCAAACATTGAAATTTTGGAAGTTTTGATTTAACAAAATATATATGAAGTTTTAAGTTAAAAACATATATTTTAAGTTTTTTTTTTTATTAATTGTAGGGATTTTACAAGTGCCTAGAGTTTTCTTATTTGGGTTTGATAGGATTTAAGAACACATGTTGTTTTATAGTGGGATATGATATCGACCAATGCGGAAATAGATAGGGGATAATACAAAACATTTATTATATATAAAATTGTTAAAAGTTGAAGAATGAAGTATGGCTAAAAAAAATTAATATATATGACTCCTCGAATAATTAGAGGTCATTCTCAGAAAATTGAACAACCAAAATCAACATGAAATAAAACAAAATATAGTCTAATATTATAGTTTAGTTACATAGTTTAAAGAGGGAGTACCAATTATTTATGATTTTCTAATAAACAATTCAGCAGTTTCTCCATTTAGAGATCATTTTCAACAATTGAGAAACTAAAGAGGTCCAAACAATGTTACAAAGAAAAAAAGGTCTAAACAAGTCTAGTAGCAGAAAAATATTGATCCATGCAACAAATTGAAATCATAGAGCAACCCAAAATGTGTTTTCAACTTTTCAGATATTTTTGCAAAAAAAAAAACATGATTATGCAATTTTCTACTAATAATTTATAAATTGTTCCACATCTTCTTACAAAAAAAGTGGCTCCATAATATTTTTTTTTATCAAAAACAAAAATCATCAATTTTCTCCCAAAAATGGGAATTCTCAAATACATGTTTTTATAAAATAACAAATATTTAAAATAAATTATATCACAATTTCTCGCTAACATATGAATTCACAAAACTATTTTACATATATGGCTAAAAATGTGATTTTATGCATTTCCAATCACGATTTTGAAAATATCCAATAAAACATAATCCCATAATTCCTCGACCAAAAACTTATTCGCTCTTTCTGGTGTTACGTTGCTTTGAGTTTGTCGACGAGGAAGAAGTCCAATCTCTATTTTTTCTCTTCAATTTGGAAAGATTTTGGGTATGTGTTAGAATTCAGATCAGTTATTATTTAAAAAAAAAAAAACTTAAGATCTTGGATTTTGGCTAAGACACGGTTTAATGTAATTTAAATTATAAATCATAACCTTTTGCCAAAATAACGAAGTCCGCAATATATGTATTATGCTATATGCTTTTCGATCAATTTTTAAAAACTTGGTATGACCGTGAGTTGAAAAAAAAAAGAAATTTCAAAAAATGCCACTTTTCAAGTGCCATTTTACAAAAATGTCACATTTTTGAAATTTTTATAAAAATGCCATTTTTTCAAAATTATTTTTTCTTTATATTATTTATGTTTGAGTTAATTATGTTCTATTAGGATTTAGTTTTGAGTGTTTATGGGGTTTTAGGTATCAAAACATTTTTTAGAGTTTAGAATTTTAAGATATAGGTTTTGTAAATATATAATTAGTGGCATTTTTGTAAATGGAAACCTCTAAGTGGCATTCTTGCAAATGTGCACACAAAAAATGACATTTTTGTAATTGCCCAAATAAAAATGAATTTGTATAATTTTTAAAAGAATTTCAAATTTTGCCAAAAAAAGGACTCAAAATATGAATTTTTTCGAGGTACTTATCATTGGTTTTTAGGAGATTAGCTAGAATAATTTTTTTTTATAAAATAACTAGAATAATCATACTATTTTTTTATTGCTGAAATAACCTATTCTAGATTTTTTKTYTTTYWTAATACCAAAATTGTCCTTCGCAGATTCTGTCGAGGTATTGGCAGACTCTGCCGAGGTATTGGCAGACTCTGTCGAGGTATTGGCAGACTCTGCCGAAACATTGGCAGACTCT